CGGCAAGGGGGGGTAGGCACCCTCCCCCTGGGGGGAAGTCCGTTTTGCGCAGCCCCTGGTCCGACCGTCATTGTTCATGGGTCAATTTTAGGGCGGAAAGGCCCGGGAGGGGCGTTCCCCAGGGAGGGCGGGGTAGCATTTTCCGGCTTATGGGCAGGAAAGGGGGGAGGAGAAGGAAGGGCCGGAATTTTTGTGGGGGGGGGGGGGGGGGGGGCTCCTCCAGCGAGTCAGAGAGAGAATGGTCCAGCCAGCAGCCATTCTACCTTGAGGTACCTGCCTTGCATACCTCTAGGTAGGTATCTAGGTACCATACCTACGTACCTAGGTAGACAGAAGACTCTGCCTGTTTGATATCTTTACATCATTCACCTCTCATACGGCTGACTGGACTTACATTCTATTTGCAAAGATTTGTAGTCTGCACACTAGAACAAACCACATCGTGCACAGCTACACATGAGATGCTCGTGAGCCCCGAGACACAACCCATGGCGTGGCGCGGGTGACCACGTCGACAGTCACAAGCCCCAAGGACCACTTGCTGACTCTGAGAGAGCCTGGGCATGACGTTGCCCTCCAAAAAACGCCCATCCATCGAGAGAAATTGGACCAGGAACGCGCCAGATCTGTTCCCTGTTGCTCGGCTCGCATCGCCCTCGTATCGGCCAAGCCTTAGGCCAGTGCAGTGAAAACCCAAAGCTCTGCCACCCGCGCACTCGGCACCAGCCTCGTCTTGCCAAGTCGCGAGACGCGCAATCCTCTTGACGCTGGCACCGTCAAAGGTGGAGCCAGGCCTGACGGACAAGTCCGAAGTACAATGAACGGGCAAGACAGGGTACCGCTACATGCGCCGGCCAAGTCTGATGACTGTTGGAAGCACGCACACCCATAGCCAAGGTGTAAACCACGGAGCCCGAATGGAATCTCGGAATGGTGGGTTGATATAAGCGCTAGCTCCAAGGCGTCTACACGCAGACGATGCCTGCATGTGCAGGAGTCTCTCCTACGGAACCCGTCGTTCACCGCGGGAGAGATCCCGGGGCAGGCTGTGAGGCCTCGGCCAATTATGCTTCTGTGCTATGTTCGGCTGAGCTAGGATTGCCTGACAACAGCTGTAGCACACCCGCAAAGCGGCACTATCAGGGACTGCCGAGGGCTAATTCCGTCCTCCAAAATCACCTATTCATGCGATGGAATGCCTAGAGTTAGCTCCGGTCAACGTCCGCTCCACCTAAGGTAGGTAGCCGCGCAGGTCGGGCCGGACCATATGGCTCTTGCCATGAGGGGCGTCCATCTTCTGTCACGCGAATGTTGCTCGCAAGCTTCAAGAAAAACCATGGGGTATCATTTCTCGCTGTGGCAGACGATGTCCTGCCCTCGAGATGTTGCGTCGTCGTGATACAAAAAAGGAAAAAAGACAGTCCACGAAACGAAAACAGGCCGCACCATGTAACTACAGCTCGTCCAAGAAGTGAAGGCGATCCTCCTGTACATCCGTTCTCTTTTCCCACAATCCCAGGCCAGGCTCGTCATCAGACCCCTCAGCACCAGAATAGTTGCTCTCGTTGGCGTCATCCCCTGACAGTGAGTGCTTGCCGACCGCCATAGTGTCAGGCGCAGCGTATTTTGCTCCAACCAAGAGCAGTACCAACAGAGCGAAGACAATGGACATGACAATCCACAGGCTTTTCAACCTTTTCCGTGTTTTCTCTTGCCACTCGCGGTCGGCCTTTTCCCACCCCTCGATCCTCTCCTTGACCACGTCGACGCGGCCGCTGAGAGCCTGGATCTTGTTTCTCCCAGCCTCGATCCGCCCCTGGAGATCTACGATGCGCTTTTTCTGCTCCTCGAACTGGCCGAGCGAGTCCACCTGAGCCTGCACATCGCGCACCATTTCCTGTGACTCCGCCTCAAATACGCCCTTGATCCCACGCGAGAGTGTCGCCAGCTCCCTCATGGCCGTGACCGTAACCTGCAGAGCACTTGTCTTCTCCAAGACGGCATAGTACGTCTCGTCGAGCTGCCGTGTCGTAGTGTTCGAGAAACCGCTCAAGTCGGCGAGAGACTTCTTCAAGCCACTGTAAACGCAAGAAAACATCAGCAAAACCGACCATGCTGTGACGGGGGAGCATGACGCCGCAGTGACAAGAACATACGTAACACGGGCCTCGGCCTTCTCGTTCTGCTCTTTGACTTCCTTCTCCACGTCCCGCCCTACTTCTGAGACAGCAAGCATGCCGTCCCTCCGTCCGGGCTCGGGACTCACGCCCCTGCCCAGTGCCGTGCCAGTCTCGGCCCTCGAGACGTCGAGCGACGGCCGCCCCCGATTCGACAGCAAGGGCCCCGCGGACTGGGGCGCACGATCGTCGCTCGCGACTTGCGTCGATTTCTGGCGGCTGTGATGTCTGATGTGGTGATGCCCTTGGTGATGATGGTGATGTAGCAGCTTGACGGGTGGCGCCAACTCGGTGATGGAGCGGGTGAGCTGGTGTCGAGCGCGCGAGGGTTTGGACGACGATTGCGGCAGTGACTGCTGCTGCTGCTGCTGCTGCTGCTGGAGCAGAGGCGGCGAGTCGCTAGCCATAGTGTCGTCGGGTCGCACCTCGCTCGTGCTGTGACATCAGGCGAGTCGGATTGCGTGGAACCTGGGTTGCTTGGTTCCTTGGTTGCTGGTCTGGCACTGGCTCAAAGGGACAGGCAAGTCGAAGAGAGTTTGGGCGTTGTGGGGTGGTGTCTGCGGCCAGTGAAGTGACGTACCTTCTTCCAGGCTGTTGCTGCTGTTCAGCGCTGTAGGTATGTGCTGTGAACCTGGCTGCACCTGAACCTCCACCACAGGTGCACCCATTACAAAGTTACGAGGACGGGAAGGGCTCGGACCAGTCTCATGTTGAAACCCGGACGAAGCTCCGGTTTGCTTGAGCTGAGAACCGGGTAGCAGCCAGATGCGACTGCAGCTCAGGGAGGATGAAGCTGAGACAGTTCATTTGAAGTTTGATTTCTGCGAAGTTTGAAGTTTGGGAGTTTATAATTTGGAATTGGAAAGGTGCATGCTAAATCATGAACGCCATCCTCTATCCCTCATTTGCTTCGAATGATCCCCCTCATCTGGCTTGAGGTTTCTGCTCGACTACCAATTTTCCCAAATGACGCCGAATGTGTTTCCTTTTCCCTATCCCAGCTTGCCGACCCTCGTAACGCAGACATCCTCTGACGAACAGTGCAGTCCCTTTCCAGAAACCCGGGGTCCCCCTTCCACGAGATGAGGATGGTGTCTCGATGGGAGTCTGATCCTCTCAAGGTGCCGCAGCAGGCGCTGGATGTGTTCGCCGCATGCCCAAACCCCCTCCCGACGAGTCTCCTCCCCCTCCCCCAAATCAGAATCGTGTGCAATGTTGAGGTTCTGGAGGTTCCGCACAGCACTGCCTCTCCATCCCCCTACACTCTACGCATTTCATGCAGCCGGACCACACCCTCACGAGTTGATGAGCTTGTTTCTCTTCTCCTTCCTCTTCAACCTCTCAACACGCTTCTTATGCATCTTCTCCGCCATCTTCTCATACCGCTCCTTCTCCTCCTTGGCTGCCCGCTTGTCCTTGATCGCCTGAACCTTTTGCTGTGAGCATGTCAGCGGCTGTCTCTGCCCCCTACGACGACACAGCACAACACCAGTGTCAGCCTACCTTGCGCAGAGCCTCCTTCTCGTCCTTCATCTCCTTCTCCTTCGCCTTTGTTGCCTTCATCGCCTCGCGCTCCTGTCGGCGCTTCTCGAACGATGTGAGGCCGCCGGTGGGGCGGAACGCTGCCTTGGGCGGCAGCCAGTGCTTGCCGTTGACACGCATACCCTGTTGTTTGGTCGCCGCAGGCGCCACCGCCGGAGCGGCTTCAGTTGTAGACATTTCGTTGCGATTCAAAAAACAAGGACTATATGATCGAGGGTCGGAGGGTTGCAGGAGAGTCGGCGCGCTCGTCGTTGTGCAAAGGGTGAGGCAGGCAGGCGAGGCGACAGCTGGGACTAGAGAATCCCGCCTTCCAAAAAAAAAATCGGATCGCAAAAGCGCGAGGCGGCCATGCAAGGCTGAGGGGGGAAGAGCGACCCCACTTGTGGACGGAGCAGGGCCCTCCCCCCTCTGCGCCCAGTCCTGTCAGTCCCTGATCAGACTCGTCTGCTCAGTTCGGCAAAAACCCACAGAAAGTGGCTGTGTGACCCACCAAATTTCTTCCAATGTGGCTGGTGAAATCAGGGTCTGATTTCCTGCCCCTCTTCCCACCCCCACATTGTCAATGTCGGTTCCTGAACCCGAAATCTGTAATTTGTATCCACCAGCCCGCTGGCGAGCCCCGATGAGTATCGAGTTGTCTCGATCGTTGTCAGATTTCAAATGCCATCCCAGGCGCCGGCACCAACGGCTTCTCATCGCAAGACAGCGCGACGTTTCACTTCCGCCGTACCGTGTGTTATGTCTATCGTGACGTCAGGGGCTCCGTCCATGCAAGGCGTCGTGAGCATGATGGTATGACACGTTCCGTGCACCAAGGGTTTTTTTTTTCCGTTTCTAGTCGTCACCTAAGCTCTTCCCCGCGGGCTTCGAAGGAGGCCATCTGACACACAATCGTACAGACAGAAGGATAAGGGACGAGGTCCATCTGCCATAGAAAGAAGGCAGCATGCACCCCGCGTTTGTGCTGTTGCACAGAATCTGCAACCACGGATACGGATAGACGCCCGAGCTCAGTCAGAGCCATCACCCAACACCCTAGAATCTCTGTCTCGCGCGGTGCGCTGTTGACACAGGCCGGCAAACCACCGGAGCCTCAACGCGTTGCAGAAACAGCAACGGAAATATACCAGTAGTATTGTCTTATGGGGTGGCACACCCCATGGCGGAAATGACGACAGCTGTCCTCCCAAGCTGCTGGCCCCTATGTGCGTCACTCATAACGATGGGAGGGATCCAGGTCCCGCGAAACGCAAATTAAGCATCATTCAGACCAATTTGCTATGCAAATAGAAAAATAAACAATATGTCACGCGAGGTTCGTCAGCAGACCAGGGCCGGGTAACGGCGCTGGAGATGCGGGACAACGGAGTCGCGTTAATGACGTTCATGTCCCTCGATGCAGCAATAGAAATACGATAATTATCCCTTTTCCAGCATCGCGGCCCCAAAATTGATGGCACATGGGGCCGACTTATCCCTTGGCCGTGATAAATTTAATTGAGCTGGGCGTGGGGTCCTGCTGAAAGCGAAAGCGGCCTCCTGTTCATTTGGGTAGCCGAACACGCGAGATTGCCCCGAGGCTGGGTCCACGCAAGGAGTCGTCGAAAAGCAGAGAGCGGGCCTGTCTGATTCGTTGCGCGTGTGAGGCCAAGGTCCAACGCAAATTATTCTTAGAATGGGGCACGTCAGATGGTCAGATTCAGATCTCCACGTTTGGAAAAAGAAGGGGGCCGTGGGTAGATGGACGCCTAGAAAGAACCATCGGATCAGCGTTCTTTATTCGCGAACCGAAATACGCCGTTCCTACATTATCCGTCTGTCTAGCATGCATGCATCGGTTTCGACTTGTTCGGAAGACGGACCAGGAGTGTACGAATGGAGGAGCAGCAGAGACCTTGGTGGTGGAGATTCCGTGAGGGCGCGCCAAGGAGGGGAAGTAAATCACAGGAGCCTCAAGGCAGATCTCTGATGTTTCGACTCCGCAACGCCCTCTTTTGGATCCTCTGAAGAAGGCAGTGATGGGACGGTTCGGCCGGCAGCAAACAAGCCGCTCCAGACAAATGCAAGATGAGATGCAAGCGCAGGGCACGGGCGGTTTTTCTCTGCATCCGCACCGACGTTTCTTCCCTGTTGGCCGTTGGGCTGCCAACCATTGTCACTGTGTTGCAGCAGGGAAACAGTTGATCTCTCCCTCCCCGGTGCTTGGGCATTGTGCACTGTACATGTATATGTACCTTAGTATGGGCCAGCCCGTTGCCACCCCGCGGGCTCACTTGACAACCCTGCAGGCGCCTCTGCAGGTCCAACAGTACATCTGCCCGAATGGGAGAGGAGCGGAACGTCGTTGACAGCCCCCATGTCCATCCGAAGGGGAGGGGGCTCAGGGAGTGAAGGCCACATCAGCGTGCACGCCCCAGGGCAAAGGGGCAACCGTTGACATACTATGTATACCATGTTGTGAGGATTCGCCAAATTGAACACGACAAAGTATGTCTCCCAACATGGGTAGGTTTGAGCCTCGTGAAACAATTGAGGGTGATGGGCTGAGCCGGGGCATGTCTACATGTACGTTCGTTGACAGCTCCCGTTGTGGCACCCAGCCGCGGGAGCACAGGCGTGACTTGTCAATGCCACTGTATGCGCGCCTGCACTTGTCGCATCCCCAAGTGCGGATACAACTGGCACTCGAACTCAATTCTAGCCTCGGTTTCGACCTAGCGACGGGAATGAACTCGGGGCCGCAGCCCGTATTACGTCTCCCGCGCATACCTATGTTCTTGGTCCGCGTGCGAACATAGCGCTGGGCTCTCTTCCTCCCTTACAGCACCTGGTGTGTGTTGATACGCTACCTTAGGCATCAGGATCTCCCCACGCCCTGTGGACCACAGGGATCAAATACGGGAAGGGTACCTACCTTACTGTACCTAGGTCCTGTTGTGACCAGGTACTTCGTGATCAAGTCCCTCCATAGGTGATCAAATAAGCCCCGATTACGTCCCTGCACGCGCGTTGACCGGGGTGCCGCGGGCTGCACCTCAAACCCGCCCAAGGCGCCGCCGCCTCTGTTCAGTGAGTGAACGGTGCGCTGATGGGTACGAATAATAAATATTCATTCGTAGGCTCCCAGTGCACCGAAAGCACAATTTCGGACGGCCACTGCAGTCCATGAGAGATGGCCCCGCCCTTCGTACTGCAACCACCAAGCCCCCTGTTGACGGCGCTGGCCGCGAGGATTTTCCCTGACGCGAACGGCCACTCTGGCAACCAGTTTTGCTGTAACTCATCTGCGTTAATACCACTGCATTGCAAAGCGAGGTCGGATTGGTGCAAAAAGAAGATGAAGGCAATGTTGGTTTCCTTCTCCAGAACTTCGACGTGGCTTTGTTCTGAAATGAGCGGGTCACGTCTGCAGCAGACAGAAGCAAGAAACATGACCGCGAGATCTGGCTCATGGAGATGGAGACGCCTCCTGCACGCAAGTTTAGTGAGCTTGGCGCTGGAGGCACATGTAGACAGCGGGACGCTGGGATATTGGGGAGGCGAGACAGACCGCCAACAAGACGACTCGGCCTTTTGGCGCCGTTCTTTTTCTTTCCCCATCGTCGCGCCATCCAGCCTAGACTTCGAATTGTACTTGGAATACCAAAGAGGTGTTTGGCCGAGGCCGGGTCCGTCGCTTTGGTGGCTTGTGGATCGCTGGATGCCACATCAACCGAGTCCTGCTTTTAGTGCCAGACGGTGTGCGGCTAGGCCGATGGCGGCCGTGTATGCGGTAGAGGGAGACGGCTGGGAGACGGCTGCGTAGTGTTAGTATCGTGTTCGTCTCGTACTAACGACGATCAGTTTTTAGTCAATGTGGTAGTTTGTCCAGGCTGACAACAGGAACCAACTTTGAGGGTTAAATACGCGCGAAGTCTTCAGCACGAGAGGCCGTGGCGGGCAGCATCCGCAGCATTGTGGTTGGTGCAGATGTTTCGGTTGGCATCGTGAAATGAGTATTGAGAATGGATATGTGTGTCCCTTCAAAGCCTGGTCATGCCGCCTCATTCGGAGGGTATGGTGCGAGTCCTCCCTCTGACGGTGAGGAGTGGGCATTTGGTGCCTCACACGTCTCCGTCACGCTCGAGATTGCCTAGTACACAGCAGGGATGTTTGTAGGTTCTGGCTTATGATAGCTTTCTGTAAGGCTGCCTCGTCAGGATACCGCAATAATTTGTTGAATCGTCCAAGAAAATTCCTCTTCAGTGTCAGCATCTAGCGGGGTGATGTATCGATTCGTCAACACATATCAGACAGAGAACCAAAGATCTCATCTTGGCCGGTTCAAGTCTAAAAGGTGTGCACTGGAA